CAAATACTAATAGTTTTGGTAGAGAAGATCGGACAGATTTCGCCAAGGCAAGCTGGGCAGTCGCCTATTGCTCCTATTCCAGATAACCCACTGTACCCTGTCTGAAAGGAAGTAACGCTAGAGTAGACTCGCGAAAAGTGTATAAGACACTTTTAAGATCAACTAAATAGCTAAGCCCAAGGGAAGTCGTTCGGGGAGGCCCTCCCTAATTCCACAAGGGTGAGAAGAAACACACACGATAACGAAACGTTGAATCATGTAGAACTCGTAGGGTAAATGCAAAGCAATTTAGTAAGAATATGCAGTAAGCTAAGCGAAGAGGTAAGCAAGAGACATGTTAGACTACACTACAACTACTAAACGAGTTAGTGCTACTACTACACTACACAAAACTACTACTACATACAAAAAAAACAAATGAATCTAAAATCAACAATTACTTTAAATAAAAGGAACAAAAATAAGCATGCAAAATAAAAATTAAATCAAATAACTACAAAAAAAACATGCAAAATAAAAAATTAATTTGAATAAAATCAACTTAATGAATTCTACTAGATAGAGCATGCAAGATAAAGAACTATTTCAACTACGGGGTCATCTCTGTCTTCTCCAACGTCGATCTGAAACAGATACGGTAGCAAATTGATTAATAAAGAGCAATTAAAATTAATTATATCAAGTATTCTCACCTTAATCAACTGTAGATTGTAACATCCCAAACTTTGCAGGTGTAAAAAGCAAAACAAATCCGGCAAGAATACCATCCCAGAAAATTTGTTGTTTCCATGGAATTCAAGTTAATCTCCAGTTGCTCTCACACATCAGTTGAAAATTAACTTCATGATGTTGTTGACAAAGATGTAAACAGCTAATCACATTGGTTGTTTCAGTAGGACCAAGCTGAACTTTATTTCTTTCCCAATTGTTGAACACTGCAGAAATGAAGAAAAAACGTATTAATCACACTATTAATTACGGAAGGCATGAAACACCTAAACGAAAGAAATAATAAATTACACTCTCACATAAATAAGATATGAAATACAACAAAACATGCATCAAAACGCAAGTAAAATGACAGAATTATAAAATGGCGACAAGTGTCAATTTAAATCATAGCATAGATAAATGTTGCGAACTAATCATAGATGCATACAACGCCAATTTATGATGTAGACAATAGATAATTGTAAAAGAAATACCAAATATCACAGATCACGGTTAAGTATGTCTATGGTTAAGTTGCCGTTGATAATACATAAATGTCAGAAGGAAAACCATAGATGCTACAGATGACAAATTACTACGAATATAAAGTATAGTAAAACAATTGCTTACCTCGAGGATTATCGAAGGTGTTCGGGTTTTATTCCTAAGCGTTGACAGCAGAGAGTACCTCTAACAATAGATACTTTTGAAAGGAATAATGATACCATTGACAGTGAAATGAGCCACAGAGCAGAAGACACAACATCACATGCGCAACCTTAGAACAACCAACCATCAGTGTGAATTGGACCGCATGTTTCTTCTAAAAAACATTACAGGGGCTTCACTTCTCCAGGTTTCGAATCCTTCTTACTTGTCTCCTTGTTCATTTAAAGTGTTTAAATGATAACCTGTGGAAACAATTTAATGTTACTTTCATCTTAAATATTATGTATTAAAATATTAAGAACCATAACTACTATCAATAAAATTATAAAATATCAAACTTAATCATTGACAACTACAATTCAGAAGAGTAAAAAATTGTAGTAGTAATTATTGTCAAACTAACGAAATACAAGATTTAAAAATTCACAAACCATTTCATAAATACAACTGTCCTTTCCAAGTCCAAGAGAAGAAAGTATGAGTGGGGGGCTCTGTTTCTCCACGTTTCGACTCCTTTTGATTTACCTCCTCATGTTCTTTAATGTTTTAATGGAAACCTGTTGAAAATTTAATATTACTTATATGTTCACTAGGTTTTGTTATTTTATTATTAATGATAATTACCATTGTTAACATCTTATGTCCAATGAATTTTTCAATCAGCCCATTAGTGGCATTTTTTGGAAATAAAATAAGTCACACTGTTACAGACATTACATCTGTAGTAGTTTTGTCCATCAAATCCTAGGTTGTTATCTCACAGCAAGCCTGTATTAAAAAAAAAACGAGTTAAAACTCTAGAATAACGAGGCAAAAATGAAAATTTTTCTAATAGAAATAAAGAATTTTTGAAGGCAGAGTAATATTTTTGAGAAATATTTTACACATTTTGGCTATAAAACGAAGGCAATTTTTCGAGGCGTGGTCACATCGATACGAAAAATCTACAATCATCGCCTAAACCTGTTTTGAAAATTTAAAAATTTTAACAAAACTATAATTATTCGACCTCAAATAAACTAAGAGTTTATAAAAATTCACAGTAGATGAACGAACGGGCAAGATGCCAAGATGGACTCCCATGTTGAAGCACGAAGACATCGCGTCAAAAAAGATCTAAGCAACGGTAATCGAAACCCGTCAATCACGAAATAGAAACATATTCCACACAATCAAATGAAAATTGAATAAGGATTAGCGCTAAATACCTTCAGGCGTCGTCTCCCTTTATAGACAGCGTAAATCAACGGACAGCAAAAACGAGATACACTCATGCACTGCATACTGCTGTAAGGCTTGCAAGAATATTCTAAAGCTATGCCCGAAACGGTGATGACGTAGAAACGGTACGCAGAAGCATCATATTAGACCTCTGCGACGGTTATTATTATTTTCGTAAGAAATCGTTCGAACAACATGAGTCAAGAGATAACGATATAAGATAATACATTCAAACAGTTCCTTTCACCGTGTCTCTTTACCCCGCTTCCTCAGCTAGGTTAAAAGCAATTTCGTTTGAAGAATAAACGATAAAAACTCATAAAAGCAGACACGAATTCAGGAAAATATTTCCACTATTAAATTCAAACAGAATTTTTATTATTCATTTTCATTGAATTAATTCCGAATATAAATTAAAATTTGTAATTAAAATTCAAGAATAGTTAAGTATTTATACAGGGTGTTTCGCAACTGAACAACAAAAATGAAATGTTATATCAAAAAACTAGAATTCTAATTATAAATCAAAAAATAACTTTCTTCAGATAGAATTTCATTTAGATTTTCAGTTTTAAAAAATACTTTAATATTTTATTTAACAATTCATTTATTATTCTAAAGTAGAAAAAAAGGAAATACATTTCAATAAAAGTTATTTATAACTCAATCCTTCAGACATTTTATGGGACCACTTAAAACAATTAGTTTATGTTCAGCCAATTAACACTATTGAGCAATTAAACGATAGATTTTAAATTCAGTGCATACAATTCAGAACACTAAATTTACAATTTACAATGTAGTAGTTTGCGTTGCTATTTTTGAATATCTATTGTAGTATTCAACGACGTAATAACTTATATGTATTTGCTTTTTTTAAATTAGTATAAAATCACTGCTGATTGTTAAATAAAATAAAAAGTATTTTCTAAAACCGAATATCTCCTAAATTAAGCTCTATCTAAAATCACGTTATTTTGGCTGTTCAGGAAAATATTTAAAACATTGATTGGTAAAATAAACTTGTGCAGTTATTATTAATCTTGTGGAATTCATTCAAGACATTCACTTAAGCATAATAATTAAAAGTTTTAAACTAACTTCAACCTTCATAAGAAATATTAATTGTATTTAGAAACATCTAAAAATTTTTAGTCCGGACCTGTCGAACGAATTAAAGGTCACTTTTTCAAGTACAAAATTATAGAAACTAAACGTGTGTTTAGGCAACCCAACATACAGTTTAAATTTTTGAACGTTGGTAAACGAACAGGTAGATGTAAATAGTCATTTTAACATAATTGCAGAAAAAGGTGAACGTTATTGATTGATTTATGAATTTATAATTTTTATTTAGACATTGAAATTTCATTTTGCAAGTTAACTTATACTGTGTTATTCTGAGAAATTTGTTGGCTACAGTTTTTTCATATACGTAAATTAGTTGGTAAAAAAGTAACAAAAACACCCACGAATTTTATCTTTTTGTTTTAAAACAAAGTTTAAGTGTCTGTAATTGTTGTTGTTTCTTACCCTTTTAATTGTGTTATTCTGTAGTGCCAGAGAAGAGAGACGTCTCTCTTTTTTGGTAGTGCACACAAGGCAGTGTTTATTTGTTGAAAAATTTTGCTTAATTCGTCAGTTAATCATAACGGATATCGGTGATTAATGAATAAATTATATCAACTAGCTCTCGCTTGCTTTAGTTTTTATCCACCTAAGCGAATATTAAGTTTAAAAACGCAAACAAATAATTAATTTAATTTTAATAATTATACCAAAAAATCAATGTACAAACATTTTAAATATCAACCTAAATTATGATTATAAAGATAGAAAGTGTATAGATTAAAAAACAAAATACCTGTAAAAGAAAGACAAAAAAAAAACTAAACAACCATAAATAATAATTCTTTGGCAAAAATAAAGCAATACAGCGTATTTATATCATTTATTGATTAATCTCCGATATCAATTATTATTTCTTGATGAATTAAGCGAAAAATTTCAGCAAATGTTAGATTAAAAATGCGTTGTTATTTTGGTGAAGACGCAGAACATTACGAAATAATTTTACAGAAGTTTTGAAAATCGAAAATTTATATTAGAAGAGCTTATGAAACCAGACGATTTGCTCCACAAAATTTTTTGTTATCATTTAAAATTAAATAACAATTTGGTGGATAACTGTGATAGTGTTGAAATCTATAAAATTGTTATAATAATATGCGACTATTGGATGTGAGATGTCGCCAATGGTATGTGAAATACGAAGGGTGTACAATAATTCTTAACTGAAAGACAAAGACTAATTGGAAAGTTTTAACAGAAAGTACTTTTGTTTCATAAAATTAATTTACTGTAATAATTATTTAGACGACATTGAACTATCAATATTGGTTTCTCTAATTACTTTTGCTCAAGCAAATTAACAATTCACGTATTGCTATGCACTTTTGACAAAAAAAAAACGCTATGCGAGCAATAAATTACTACTATTAGGCAAAAATAAAGCTAACGAGAGCCTATTTATATCATTTATTACTTGATGAATTAAGAAAAATATTTCAGCAAATGTTCTATTTTGATTAGGTTAGACGTAGTTCTAGTTCCAAACACTAACGAATAAAAAAAAAACTGTTAAATTTTTTATTAAATTTTTCAATTAAACAACTAATGGGTTTTAGCAGCTAGTCGCTTGTCTCTTTCTTCTGCAATGGACAGCTTAACACCCTTTCCTCTTGGTAAAGAAACGAATGCTTTACTACCCTTGCCAATTATGAAAACGTTGTTTAATCTGAATGAGAATACAATTTTGTTAAAAATATAAAAAGCTAGGGTTAACAAAATTTCTTAAAGAACTTCTAAAAAATTATGAAATAATTGTTTTCTGCTTGGGTAATACTGATTGATTATATTTTATTCAACCAGTGACCATTACAGAAATTACTTTAGGCCATATTTTGACTGCAATATATTAATAAAATTTCATATCACAGCTTCGAAATGGCCATAATTTCCATTAGTTCTTCAGCAAACTGTATTTACTAACTGTTCTCTGTTTTTTCTTTAAGAGCTTTAATACCAGTTTTCAAACAATGTATCACTTGAAATTGTATTTCTTATAAAAATTGGTTCCTTGTTTTAATATTCAATTTTTACTTTTTATCCAAAAACAGTTCTAAGAACTAATTATTAGTTATAACAAAGGTGAATTGCAAGAAGAATAATCAATATTGTACTTGTCTTACAAAAACACTTTTTTACAATTCTTACCTAGTAGCAAACACATGACCATTTGCGTCCTTTATGTGAACAATATCAAAGGACCCTGGATGTCTTTCTCTATTAACAACTGTTCCAACTCTTCCCAAGTTACGGCCTCCTGTAATCATGCATAAGTTTCCAGAATCAAACTTAATGAAATCCAGGATCTTAGATGTGGCAATTTCTAATTGGATGGTGTCATTAACTTTAATGATTGGGTCTGGATAACGAATAGTTCTTCCATCATGAGTCACAAGGAAAGGAACACCTTTGGGGCCAGTTTGAACTTTCCTTACCTTACACAATTTGTACTAAAACAAAACACCAATTATCTATAGAACCATTTAGAGAATTCTGAAAATATAAAAAGCAATTGATCAGACTGAGTAAAAATAAATCATCTATAATGTTCATTAGGAATTCAAGGAAAATCTTAAAATTGTAACCTCAGATGAGTAAGGCAGTAATCATATAATATTCAATGAAATTTTAAAATTTTCACATTGAATATAACCTCAAACAATATTTTGATCATCCTAGGTTGAGACTACATGATAAGACAGATATTATTAATTCTTATCAGATTAAAATGGGAAACACTGATTTACATCTAAGTGAAAATTCAGACAAATCAATTTAAATACCTTAGCTTCCTCAGCTGTAATACGATGAATAGTAAAACGGCCTTTTACATCATAAATTAGTCGAAAGTACTCTCCAGTTTTCTCAATTGTTATTACATCTATAAAAGAATCAACAAATAAACAAATTTCTAGTCAAACAGTTGTAGACCCTACCCATAAAACCAGCTGGATAATTAGGATCTGTCCTCACTTTTCCATCAACTTTAATTAACCTTTGCATAACAATCTTAGTCACTTCTGAATTTGTTAAAGCATATTTAAGACGATTTCTTAAAAATATGACCAATGGCAGCGATTCCCTTAACTTGTGTGGACCTGCTGATGGACGAGGGGCAAAAACTCCTCCAAGTTTGTCCAACATCCATGCCTTAGGTGCATTTAAACGTTTCAAATGTTTCTTTGGCCCACGCGCCTAAAAAATAAAATGCTGTTATTTGAAGACCAGATCTTCATGAACACCAAGATGGAAAAATCTGTCAAAACAATATTGGTTGTAAACTATTCTGCTTGTAATTATAGATTTAATGCATATAATCTGAACAAACTGTCCACATCACATTTTACCGATGATTTAAGATAAATCAATTTGTAAATATTAAAATATACCCACCATGTTGCCTACAAACCACACAAAGAATGTCTTTAGGTTATGTTATTCCTGTTTCTAACTTCACTACGTTTCTGATTGATTGACCAGAAGTTGATTGACTTACGATTAGATGTATTCCATCAGTTTCAAATGCAAATGACTCACTTTGAATGACATACAAATATTAAAAAAGAATATTTGGGCAATTTGGATAAGTATTTATTTGGATTGAATAACTGTTAATTGTAAAGTAAATATAACTTTTTAACATTTTTTTTATATGATATCATAACACAATCAGTATTAATATAATTTTTTCCTACTCTTAGTTTCATTTGAGATTTAGAAAATATTATTTTATTCTATAGAATAGTGTATACATTTTTAAAAATATTTTATACAAAACACATAACAATTCAAAAATTATAACAATTAGCATTGTTGTTAATATACAACTTATCTGTAATTGTCAATTTTATTTATTTGTTTTAAGAATGAATAAAATTTAGAAAATACAGAAATTTATGTAATTATTAATTTTTAATTTAGATTATAAACAAGTGCTGTATTGCATCAGTATTTATGAATGAGTCTTATTTATACGCTCGGCAAAATTCGAATGGTTCAGACTGTAATCGGCACTATTCGTAAATAAAGGAAGGGGGGATAACAATTGCTAGTAAATTTTCACCTTCGCAACCAAATTCATACAACTTGTGTTGTTCAGGTCTAGTCGCCATATTGATATTTTAGTCTTCGTTGCACGAAAATATTTAGAACTCCTGTTCCTTTGTAATACCAATATTAGCGACAAACCTTTTAGGACACCGTTTTCAGTTAAACGAACTTTTGTTTCTGACTTTCAAAGTTTGAAAAGTGAGGTGACGGTTGCTTTGTTTGAGACGTTCATCGTCTGTCTAAATTAAAAATGGCGTGTGCTACACTTAAAAGATCTTTGGATTGGGAGCCTGTTTTGGGGGCAAGGCCGGCCAAAAGAAGACGATGTATCCCCTTTTGTGCAAGTCCTCAACATCATAAAGATCGAGCTGACTCGTCAAGACATTCCAGTCCCAGCTCGTCGGCTGTATCACCTGTATCTGCCTTTCCAGACGTTGTTAGCCAAAAGCTTACTCCAGGTAAGAAACAACTTATAAAGCTCAATAAATTTATTGTTAAATTTATAACGTTGTAGTTACAATTCATTGTTAATGGGTCCCAATAATGCACACCTTAAATTTTATCATAAATCAATGTTTGAAAATCATCAACTGATAAATAACCTCTTGCCTCCATATTATAGTTTTGGTTTTAATTACTGAATTAATTAATTTTAACATGTATTAATATTTACATTAGAAGGTAATGTTTAATATTAGTTTTATAAGTATTTAATTCTTTTTAAATTTTATTGCCAAAATAGCTATTTATTAAAATAACTTTTAGCCTAGTTAATCAAATTTAACCATGTTTAAGTGTCAGTTGAAGTTATTTTTTATGCGTGTCCTCAGAGTACATGGCAGCAAGTATCAAAGCAGAACTGAAAAGACTGCAGAGGCGTAAACAGCTTCAATTCAGCTGTGATAATTCTGATGGCAGTAGTTCTGGGGGAGAGACATCTGAGTCAAATTCTCGTCCAGAGAAACCTTTATTTACTTTTAAGCAGGTAAATAAAAAATCAGTTTGTTAAAATGGCAATTGTTTATATTGTTATTACTTTTGTAATATGTTTGTTTAGGTTGGTCTTATATGCGAAAGGATGATAAGGGAAAGAGAAAATGAAATTAGGCAGGAATATGACAGTGTTTTAACAGCAAAACTTGCAGAACAATATGATGCATTTGTCAGATTTACATATGATCAAATACAGAAAAACTATCAGGCTGCTCCAAGCTGTAAGTATTGTTTTTCATTACATTTGTGAAATTTAGTAGATCATTTTGAAAATGTTCAAATTATGTACTTATAAAAAAAAGTGGTTGAATATTAATTTTTGGCCATGTTAATTTTATTGGCTTGCTTGTTATTGATATTTATCCAAATTTTGCTCTCTAAACTTGAGACAAATTATAAGTTGTTTTAAATACAAATTGATTTTAATTTGGGTTATAATTGTCAGAATAAAATTTAAATATAGGTTTAAAGGCAAAATAAAGTAATGAAAGCTTGAAAGAATAAAGCACCTTTTATTACAGTATAAACTTTGGTTAATAGCTAAATAAAACATAATTTTAATTTAGTTTTTGTTAGTTTATTTTATGGTTTTGTTATCTTATACTCCCTTTTTTACTCTACACCTATAAATAGAAATGATATGGAACATACTGGAATTCAATATTAAGTCTTTCAAGAATGATAAAAGAAATAATTTAAATTTTTTAAATTTCTTATTTTAGTGAGTTTTATTGAAGGTGTACCTTCTATGGAACTTGTGAAAGGATGAACTTTAAATTTGTTCCATATTATCTTTCTCCATTTTCCATTCCCCAAAAAAGGTCTTAAGTTTAATTTAATTAATAATCATCAGAATTGACCTGATTAATTTAATCAAAGTTCCCAAAATTTTAATTTATGAATATTTTTTTTCCAATCAATTTAATTTAATTGGAATTAATTCTAATTTCAGACTTGTCGTAAAATCAACACTGAGTTGTAACAGCTGTTTTCTGACTCACTAGCCACTACATATACCATTTGTTATAGGTATTTCATATACAAGAATATATACTACTATTATTATATTTATCTCCCCATGCAGAAATGCCGGCCTTACCCCAAAAAAAAAAAAACAATTCTGCCGACAATTGTATATATACATGTAATGTCTTATTATTGGAATTAAAAAATTATTACAGATTAATATGTACATAAATACAGTGTCTTATTTCGTTTCATTACTTTTTTATTTAAAAATCACTTATCCTTATGTTTCTGTGTACTTTTATGATGGTTATATTATATGTATACATTGACAACTTTTGATGCTTGTCAATTAATTAACGTTTTAATTTTAATGGGTCAATTTGTTATTATATAGATGTACGTATTAATTAGAATCGTACAACGGTGGTTTATAAATGTGGCGATAAATAAAAGAAATCTTATATAAAAACATAGGCTTTCGTAGCCGAAACCCATAGTAGAATTAACATAGGGGCGTATCAGGTGTTGTTGAAATCAACGTTTTGTCGGCAACTGCGGCTGATAGTGGATACCGCGTAATTCAGTTTGACAAGTTGATATCATTATTAGATGAAGTTCACAATATTACCTGTATTTGTTTCAATAAATGCTGCTTAACACCAGCAATTCAATAATTGCTGGTGTTAAGCAGCATCCAGTTAACAAGTACAAACAGCAGAGTAAACCTCAACTGAAGAAGTTTGCTATTTTGTGGTAAGATTCAATAATGTTTGACACGATCCTTTTCTAATAAAGATATCGACTTTTAAAATTAAATACACAGCACAGCGGATGTAACCGTTCATTTCGACCACGGCATATACGCCCTAATCTTAGTTGTACCAAAAGAAATCCTGTTGATAAGAACGAACAACTTTTGACAGGATTTAAGATGTAATTGACTGAAAAGTAACTGTTTGTTATTTTGTTATTTAATTTTGAAGCTGATACAGTTTTTGATGGTATTTATTCTAAATGGGATATATTATACAGTTACAAATGAAATTGATTCTAATATGCTTTTGTAATAATTTAGGAAAGTATTTTGCGATATATTTATTATTAATAAGGAACCAGCCAATTCAATGCAATTAAATAATTAAGTTAATACAAAAGACAGTTAGTAGATTTTGTACCCAAATATGTAATTAAAACAAAATGACATTGATTTTTCCAATAAAATTGCGTTTAATTGGCTCATTTGCGGAATTAGAAATAAGTTCATTACGAAAATTGTGAATAGAATAAAATTTTTCAATCAATTTAAAACGAAACGTTTTTTAGAAAGTGTGTCGTCTTCGAAAAAAATTTTTTTTTGCCATTCAGACATGTAAAAATTGTTGCCATTGTAGTATTACAGAGGCTGTATTTAATTCTTTCTTTGTGTATTGTAATTCTAGATACGTGAAAAACTGTTATTTCAATTTTCGTTAATTGATGGGTAGCATTTACCAGTCTTCTTACAATTTTGAAATAATTTCTCTGGTTTTGTACTTTAATAATGAAAAACCCTGATCTTTTGCATTGTAAACGTGCAAACATTTATATTAGCAAACTATTGATTATTGGTAAATGCTATTTTTTTTTGTCATATTTGTGACCATAAAAATAATGGAATCTTTCCATTTACATGTAAATTTATATAAAAATGCCTTTGCTACCAAGAGTAGTCTGAATTGATACTAAAAGAAAATTCATTCGTTTATTTTTATTTTAAAAATTCGAGTAAATATTTAGGATTAAGTGAAACGTAATTTATACATATTATTATATAATACTTATTTTCAAGTAGTGTAAGACTTGTTCCAGAAGAAGAAAAAGATGCCCTTTCGTTTTTCCCTTAATTTTTTTACACATAAAACTTAAGATTTTTGGTAATAGCTTATAATAGTAATAATAGTTGTGTTGTTGTTTACTATTTAGCAGAATTAATTTAAAATAAATTAGTTGCTATTTATTGTGCAAGTGGCCTGTATAGTAAAGTAGCTTTATTGGTGCATGAGAATTGTTGATATTGAAAACAACTTTGTTAATTTTCTTTCGCTGATACTAAGCTAGGGAAACTTCAAACAACTTTGATAGTAAGTTAATATTACTAGTTTACTTTTTAAGTTTGGATTTTTTTCTTTAAAATACATATATGAAACAAAAAACGTGTCTTATTGTATTATCCAACTCAAAGTTACTAAGGATTGCTTTACAGATAGCGTTTCTTTAAGAACCATTGTTCTTATTTAAACGTCACTTTCCTTAAATTAAAAAAAAAATACTTTCTGCTACATATTTGAAAATACCGCGATTTATAATACATAATGTAGCCACTACCACACATACTTTCGTAACTAATGTGGCTATGGTATCACTATAAAAGTTCACTGCTAGATTTTCCTTATTTTACACTCTGCTGAATTGTATATTTCTTTTCCAATGATTACACATGACTATATTTTACTTAAATTATTTTAATTATTATTGAATTCCAAAATAATCGCAATAGCTCTAATTTTAGATGCATATTGCACACAGAATCTTTAGCCACTATGAAATAGTAAGTGTTATTCAATGGTAACAATGTCAAAGTTCTGAACGTAATTAATATATTCTTTAAAACTATTTTTTATTTGTATATTTGAACCATTTACTGTTTTGTATTTTTATTTAGAATTAACTTATTTAATGTGAATTTTGTTACACATTCTATCATAGTGTTGCTTCAAATGATAAAAGTGGAAAATATGACTTGGTGACGTTAAGGAAAAAAGTTAACCGCGATGCTTCTGATCAAAAATAATGTGAGATGGTATTTTTATAACATCCTATGTACATATAATAGCAAAGGCCAAAGAAGGAATTTATTCATTGATAATGGCGAATACAGAAGAAATAGAAAATGTGGTTTTTATTACAAATGATCCATCAAATTCTAGTAATGATAATTTAGATTATAACTTTAGCAACATTTACGAACAAGTGCCAGTAATTAGTTACAGTCGTCTTTCTGAAGAAAAGGAACCACCTGAACATTCTACTTACATTGGAAAGTTAAATGAACATGATGAAAATGCAGGGTAAGTACTAGTCTACTAGTTTTAGCTTAACCATATATGGAAAAGAAATAAAATACTTTATGATACACTTCTAAACAAATTGTATAATAATTCTTGGATTTTATTAATAATTGTTTGTAACATTTTTATTATTGTCTATTTATTGACAATAACTATTGGTAGCCTCAGTTTTTGTTTATTTTCGTGCTTGTAAATAAAGCAAATATTTATCTATTACAAATACTTGTAGTAGTGAGTATTCTAAAGGTTGTAATAATGCAATAATCCTTTCTATGTTTATATTGCAGATATATTCATCATACCATATCACCTGACAGGATATATATGCACATTCATCCAGGCAGCTCAGGGAATATGCCTGATGAACCATCATATGCCACACTCACCATAACTAGCACAGATCCTGAAACCAAAGAAACCCGAGTTAATCGATTTCATTGTGAATTTGATGGCTGTACAAGAACATATAGTACAGTTGGAAATCTTAGAACTCATATGAAAACACATAAAGGTATGTTTATTTGAAATTGTTTTTTATAATCTAGTAGGTACTATATGTATAAATAGGCACTAAATTTCATTAGTATGGTAGACTGTATCAGTTTTGCAATAGTGGCTTTATTTGGAATTAAAATAATTTGCAAAATAGTTTAAAACACTAGAAAGTAAAATGTGTTCTTTAATTTCCAGTTAGATACAATTTATTATGTAAGTATATATAATTATGTAATAATAGTTTTGTTATTTGAGTAATGTTTATAATATTTAAGAATGGTATAATATGCTGATGGATAAATATGTATATTGCTTTAAGGAGAAATTGAAGGTACTGTAACTTTAAGTGTTAATCATTTTATAATTTTAGAAATTCATATTTATTCACATACATTTATCGAATTATTTTATATTTAGTTGCAATAATTACTTATTGGAAAAAAAATATTTTTTTATGGAATAATAGAATTATGATTCTGAGCTAAAGGGAACTAAATGAACGGTTTTATGGAATTTTACATTCAAACATGAATGATTAACATTATCAGAAGAAAATTTTGCTATAACTATGAAGTTTTTATTTTTCTTTTTTACTTTCATATGTAGTCGCATAGCCACCTCATCTCATTATTATTTAAGAAATATTTTCAATTAAAACTGTATATAATATGTATCTTGTTTTTGATGAGGCTTGGCACTATTGTTTAATTATTGAAAATAAGGAGAAAAAATGTCGAACATGTTAATAATATTCTTTTATTAATTCCATAAATTAGAGATGATTATCTCTTATTTTTGTTTAGCTAGTTTCATCATAAAAAGTAAATGTTAGGAATTTATTAGAATAGCCTTTGCAATAGTAGCAAAGTCAAATTAATAAATTTATTATAGGTGAATATAGATTTATGTGCAAAGAGCCGAGTTGTGGTAAGGCTTTTTTGACATCGTATAGTCTAAAAATTCACGTAAGAGTACACACCAAAGTAAAACCGTTTGAATGTAGTCATGACGGTTGCGAGAAGGCTTTCAACACCCTGTACAGGCTTAGGGCACACCAACGTTTACACAACGGCACTACGTTTAATTGTGAGTCTGATGGATGCATGAAGTTCTTCACTACTCTAAGTGATCTTAAGAAACACATCCGTACCCATACTCGTGAACGACCCTATAAGTGAGTGGTTCAGCCACACGCTGCTGGTGCTGCAAAAATGCTTCTGTGTTGATGTCGATGCATGATGAACTTAACAAAATAGCTCATGTCGCTTCATTTTGTGTTTTGAAAGGAATGTCTCATTTTTAATAAATTTCTAAACAAGCCAAAAGACAGAATCGTAAAAGTCATAGTCATGGTAAGAGTATGTGATTTATCTCTGTATGTGCAGGTCTTGCATCTTTTTTCATGAAACCTATTACTATAAGCACATATTTATTACCAAGGTATATACTACAATATAAAAAAAATATTTTCGTTTTAAATTTTTTAATTTTTTAAACATTTGGTAAACAATTGACGTTGAATGAGCTTCAACAAAGAATCACGTATTGTAAGTATTATTGACGCACCTAAGGGAAAATTGCGAATAAAATTACTCGGCCAGAACTTTCTAGTTCTTATTATTTAATAATAAAAAGAGATATTTTTTATTGTATTAGAAAAGTATTAAAGAGGAATATAACATGGGCTTATTAAGTACTTTGCTTTAATTGTAGACTGACATTTTTTCATTGAATGTCTGCTTTTTACAAAGTGTTTTGTAAATGTTTTACGTCCTTCATTTCTAACATTGATTTTTCCATGTCATATTATAAGGGATGAACAAAGTTCATTTGTATAATGAATGTTATGTTTATTTTCGGTTAACGGGAAACGTTGCATGATTTTTTCAGTGTTCATAAATCTGTTACGGAAATCAATTGATATTTTAAATGTAACTTTTATATTTTGCAGGTGTGATGAAAATGGATGTGGAAAGGCTTTTGTTGCAAGTCATCATTTGAAAACTCATCGTAGAACGCATAGTGGCGAAAGACCATATGCATGTGCTGAGAACAATTGTACAAAGGCATTTTCTACTCCTCATAGTCTTAAATCTCATGTAAAGATTCATCAGCGAGCTCAGGAGCGGGGGCCCGGGGATAATTCTACATCTAGGGAGGATAAAGAGAATAATTGTTCAGCTACTACAGTTAGTGAAAATAATAATTTATGTTCATTGCCAAATAGCAATTTGCAATCATCAAGTTCAAAATGGATTGAAAATGTGAAATCTAAAACTAATGAAGGTAATTAATTTTAAGTAACTTAATAAAAAATAAAAATTGCATTTTTTTAGGTTGTATTGAGAATAATACCAAAAAAAATAGCACTGTGACATCTTCTGAAGAAAACAGTTCATTTTCTCAAGATTTAAGTATTCTCAAAGACTCTTTAGATTCTCTGTTGAATTCAAGTGATCTACAAAATATTTCTGTTTCACCAATTACATCAGACAACTTTAGTTCTGGCCAAATTCAAAATCAGTTTACAGAAATGCATCAGCAGGAATCATCTAATAACGTGTTTGTTAGTGATTTACTTAAACATTATGCTACCGTTCAAACCATTGAACCAGTCAATACTCAATTGTCTTTTAATATTGGCACTGAAAATACTGAAAAAACTGAAACCTTGGCAAATCTCGAAATTGGCTTAGAAGAAAGTTCAGTTAAAACAGAAATCCAAAATAGTGGCATTGAGATCTACAATTTGAATGCAAACAAGAACAGTAATGAACTAAAAGAAACGACTAATTTGGACTTGAGTATCTTAACCACAGACAGTCAGGAATTACTTAAAGACATCTTTAATATAACAGCTAAAGACGTTCAAAACGAGTTCTGTAATGGTACAACTTCTGACAGTGCTCCTTCCATGTCTGTAGCAGGAGGTATTCAAGTAGATAGTCTTCTGAATCGTCAGTGTTCCATGGAAATCCAAGACATCGATCTGGTGGATTTAAATAAGCAAATTTACACTCCAGAAGCACTGGAAATGTCGTTGGCTTGTGAAGAAGAAATGCCCTCTGATTGGATTGATGTAATGGACCTGGCCGTTGGTAACGGACTTAACATTTTTGAGCACAACGCTGTTAATGACAATCAAATAACAGCTTTACCCACTGCTATACCCACGTACGTTAATCTGGAAGTTCCTCAACAAAATGTCACTTTGAACGAGTTAACATCTGCAAAGAAGTCTCAAGATAAAAGTAATAATAGTCAGTATATCAGTATGGTTCATTCGAGCCCTCAATTCTTCACTAATAATAATTTTCCTGAAGAAAATACTCCCAATAAAAATGCAGATGTCCTCAAAGATTTGACGGCCGATGCTGATATTTGCAAATGCGTGGATTGCAAATGTGATACTAATAATTGCTGTCACGAAGGAGGGGCTAATTTATGCTTTTCTCCTTCGTCCATGTCGTCTGGTAAATCTCTACCTTCTGTATCTTCTTCATCATTCTCTCCTGTTAGTTCCTCGAAACAAAATCCTTCTTCATTACCTCCCTTGCCCATTAGTTGTTGTAAAAAAGATGTATCCGAATTATGCGCAGCACAAGTTGGTACAGTGAATAATTGTACAAAAGATTCGAAAGGAGATTGCCCAAAGGAATGCTGTATAGTTGTTTGTTTGAGTTCGTTTGACGAACTTAAACAGATAATTGGGGTTTCTAATGGATTTGATAATTTTTCGAAAATTTCGTACGGTTGTGTTGAAGTACCCGCAATTAATAATGCTTAGAAAAATTAAAATTCAATTATTTCTGAAGTTTACTAGAAATTTTTGTATCTTGTGTACAACAGAATTTATTTTGTTTCAGTCTAGGCCTTAATTTAAATATTTTAAAATTATATGGACCTAAGAAATTTTATTGACGGATGTTTTAATTTACCAAAAATTCTT